ACCCTGCAATGTATTTGTCCCTGAACAAACCAATAGATCACGTGGGCATTGAGGAGAGCCAAGCAACAGAATGGACTTTTTGTTTGCAGTTTGCTTCCACTAAAAATGGAATTTATCATGTAGGAGAGGGAAAAGTCTCCAAGAAATGTCCTGCCAAACTGTGGGAGATGCTTTCCTTCAAGAATTGTGTTTGGTGTGTCAAGATTCCTTAGACTGATTATTATATCATGTGAAGATAGGAGAAAAAATAACTTACTTAAATAACCATCCCACAAATATTTTGTAAGATGGAGTCAAATATGGTCTTGCAAGGCATAAGACTGCCTCTTGTAAAAGGCACTATCAGAAGTACAAAACTGCATGTAGTGTACATTGTAATTGATTTTAAATGCTTGGAACCAATAATATACAAAATGTTTTGAATGTAAATAACGTCAAATTCAGAAAGCCCTTCAAGTTTGAAACAGTTGTTTTGGAGTACGAAATAGCTATTCTGAGCTTGAAACAGGCTGTTATTTTAGAATCACTTCATGTTAGAAATAACTCAGTTTCAAAGTCAAAATGTTTCGAACATTATCAGAGTAATCTGTTTCAAATGTATAATAGCTGTTTTGCATTCATAAACCACTTTTAGTTTGATATGGATGAGGATCAGAGGTGGGTTTTAGCAGGTTCTGACCAGTTCTGGAGAAACGGTAGTGGAAATTTTGAGTAGTTTGGAGAACCGGTGGTAAAAATTCTGACTGGCCCTGCCCTCATCTATTCTCTGCCTCCCAAGTCCCAGCTGATTGGGAGGAAATGGGGATTTTGCACTATCCTTCCCCTGGATTGGGGTGGGAATAGAGATTTTACAGTATCCTTCCTCTGCCACGCCCACCAAGCCATGCCATGCCTACCAAGCCACACCCACAGAACTGGTACTAAATTTTTTTGAAACCCATCACTGATGAGGATGCATAAGAAGACAGTTCAGACTTTTGCAAACCTCTGTTCACAATGTAATGTAATGAAGAGCAGCTATTTATTTATTATTTATTTATTTATTTATTTATTTATTTCCTGTCTTTATTATTTTACACGTAACACAAGGTAGCAAACATATCCAACACCCTTCCTCTCCTATTTTTCCACAACAACAATACCCAATAAGAGAAAGTGACTGAAAGAGAGTAACTAGCCCAAGGTCATTCAGTTGGCTTTCATGGCTAAGGTGGCACTAGAACTCTCCTGCTTTCTAGCCTGGTGTCTTAACCACTAGACCAGATGGGCTCTAATACTCAAAAGCATTACAAGGGCCAGATTCTGAGATAGAGACCACACTTTGAAGGTCAACACAGCTCCATCAATGTCTAGTTTGCACATCACATAGAGCCATGATTTACCAAGTCAACATTTGTTCAATAACAGGCAATTGGTTGAATCTATAAAACAATTCAAAAGAAAATAAAACAGTTTCAAAATAGCCAAGGGACTCTCTGTATAATACCTCTAAATATCCATTTCCAATATCTTATCTTTTACATTAAACATCATTCATCCAAGAGAAATTCTAGATGCTTTTCTGAATATACATTACATTTTTTAAGGGATGCATCGAGGAAAACAAAACACAAACACATAAGCCAGGGAAATTAGGATAACTACAGCTGATTCATATAGTACGGTAAACCACAATGCAGTTTAATTTTAGTCAACTTCATCCAACTTAATGCCCTCCACATAATGACAATTCATGGCACAGGTTTCTCCTTTCTGACAGTGATCGACATGATAGTGCACCAGCTTTGGTGAAGGCTCATAATTTGGTGAAAATTGCATTTGGCACTTATTTAAGTAAACAAGTATACAATAAATTAATTTTGATTTCAAATGGTTGAAAGACATAACCAATGAAACCCACATGGGTTCAAGACCAAATTATTTGCACTCTGAGCAAATAGCTCAGAGCTATTTTTCCTAACCTTGTGTCATCCAGATATGGTAGAATCCCTGGATTTCTTCACACATGAGAATTCTAGATGTGGCAGTCTCATCCTATTTGGATAATGTTAGCCTAAAACAGCGATGGCTAACCTTTTTGCCATCACATTCCAAAACTGGTGGGAGCGCGGTGGGTCACGCATGTGCATGCCCACACCCATAATTCTATGCGCTCCACCCACCCGTATGCGCGCACGACCCTCCACACTCCCTCCGCTTTTGGCACGTGATGGCACTGTGGGCCTGTTTTTCACCCTCCCCAGGCTCCAGAGCCTTTCTAGGATCCTGGGGAGGGCGAAAACAGTCTCCCCCCCCAGAGGCCCTCCGGAGGCCAGAAACGGCCAATTTGCCAACTTCCGATGGGACCAGAAGGCCCATTTTTTGCTCTCCCCAGGCTCCAGAGCCTTTCTAGGAGCCTGGGGAAGAGTGAAAAATGGGCCTTTGCCACCACCCCAGGCCCTCCAGAGGCTGGAAACAGCCTGTTTCCCTACTTCTGGTGGGCCCAGAAGGCCTGAAAATCAGCTGGCTGACATGTGCATGCACGCCAGAGCTGAGCTCATGTGCCCACCAATATGACTCGCGTGCCCTAGGTTCGCCATCATGGGCCTAACATATTAAAATGGCAATACTGTGGAGAGTCTCCTGACTCTCACTGGTATTTATAAGATTGTTGTGAGGGTAACATAGGGAGATGTAGGTTTACTGCTCCAGACTTGGGAATGAATAATAATATAATGCTGTATATGAAAATAAAGTACACCTTGGCTTGTAAAAGTCTATTTAGAATTGGTTGGGCACTGAACTGGGCTGCAACAGTAATCTGTGAATGACTAGAAGTACTTTGGTGTGTCAAAGGTGGGTCACCTGTTAATGAGATTAGCTTTATTATTTAGATAATAAATAAATGAACTGAATCTTTGATACTGTAGAAGTACCTGTGTTAACATAAAACAATATGGATGAAAGCCCAGTCTTAGAAACTACAGGCATTAAATTATTGCTGTGCTAATCTGAAGCACATCAACCACAGGATTTCAAATGGCCATAAAAATAAAATAAGGCTTCTTGTTGGCACGGCTCACTTGGCTCTTTTAGGAAACTGACAGTCACTAGCCTGCGGTCTGTTCCACCCATCTCTTTTATAAGCTTTCAAGAGTTCATCACAATTAGAAAAGTCAGTACCGTTTTGGCAACAGGTTCTCTTCTAAGTTGGCACTGGATGCTAAAACAACATTTCTTAGAATGTTGGATTGCCTCTTTGGTGCTGTATTCATCATTCAGAATAAATCTTTAAGCCAACATTGTGTAAGGGACATTGCATATGCTTCCCCAAATCCTTTGAAACTTGCTAGAAACTTATTAATAAAGAACTGTGCACACATTTATACTGTATATGAAGGAGACTGCATAGTGGTGGTTCAATGAAGGGCCTTCTTTAGGTGGACTGATGAATGGAATATTGTTTAATCTGCCCTCCTCCTTTTCTACTGCCTCTTGCAAGAAGACGTCAAACTTTACTGCCTCTCTCTCTCTCTCTCTCTCCTCCGATAGCTTTCAGGATTGCATTGCTTGCTTAAAATTAATTGGCAATTGGACTCACAGCTCTATCTAAAAGGGGGTATAAATCTTTTTAAAAATCCCTGAACACTTGTAAAAGGCCCACTAGCACACTATTTTCTTCCACTTTCAGACATTACTATTTCCTTAAAGCTAGGATAGACAAAAATCGATGTTGGTTAAGAACTGAACTGGAGACAGACAGCTTGCCCATTTTGACAACTGAAACCGGAGAACTTAAGTGTGTGAGGGCAGCTCTTTGAAGCAACAATCCCAAAGAGCGATCTATTTCTCTGGGAAAATGCCACCTTGTATAAAATGGTGCGTTTCAGATATTTGACAACTATGGGAAAGTGGTTCTACAGTAGAGGTTCCTGGAGGTTCATTCTCAGCCCTTAAAGTGAGGAGCTGGTGTCTCAGCGACTGTTAAATATCAACTGAATAGTTGGGGTGGGGGAGACTTTTGTTTGAAGCAAAAAGTATCTAAAGATATTCCTCCCACAGACAATTGTGTATCTTCTTGAAAGTACATAAATGGGGGATGTCCTCTGCTTTAAACGAGATTTCTTTGATGTGTTTTGTATCATCTGATTTATGTAACTATGTAACCACTTCACATGCTCATTTGACCTTCATTGGTTTAGAAGTGCTCTGAAAACCAAAGGGAGGTGAAGAGGAATACATTTTCTACAGCAGAAACTGATCTAACTATAATTCCCTTCAACTGCCCAACAGACTAACAGAATAGCAATAGCACTTAGACTTATATACCACTTCATAGTACTTTACAGCATTCTCTAAGCGGTTCACAGAATCAGCATATTGTCCCCAACAATCTGGCTCCTCATTTTACTGACCTCAGGAAGGATGGAAAGCTTGAGTCAGTCAGAATCAAACTCCTGGCAGTTGGCAGAATTAGCCTGCGATACTACATTCAAACCACTGCGCCATCATGGCTCTTTTTGGAATAAGAGAGTTGGAAGGGACCTTGGAGGTCTTCTAATACAACCCTCCAACAAATATTCTTTTTTAAAATCTCCAATGAATAAAACCACACAAGCAAATAAAATAAAGAAGTTAAAAAAAAAGCAGTTGTGACAACAGTTCTGATATTTTTATCTCCAGCCTTGCAAATGCCTGAATGCACCCTTTTACCAACTCTCACATTTACATTAAAAACTATCACTGTGACATGAGCATTAGAATTGCTTGCTGTTGCTGAGTTTTAGTGGATAGTTGATAAATATGCAACATGAGTTCCTCTGCCTATGCTGATGCAGTTACAATTATATTAAATATACACAGAATTGTATAATATATATTAATAGTATATTCTACTGAGAATCATACTCTTTAAGATGCCAAATAGGGAATAAAAAACCAGCAATCTTGTTCCCTACTAAAGCAATGCATTGCTACTAAGTAATTCCCGGCCTTCTTGTGTTGAAGCACAGAGCTGTATGCTTTAATATGTGTACAGAACACGATTTAAAAATAAAATGTTCATATGATCCTATTTTAGAAAAACCACATTCCACAATTTTATAAAAAACCACGTATTTACCACAATTTCTGCTCTAGCCAAACAATGGTGACCATACAGCTCCCGTTCTAACTTTGCATGAAAAGGTGATAATTTGTCTTAGTGAATTCTTGATGGATGGTATTGAGCAAGGTGTCAGAATCCTGCACCATCTCTGGCAGGAGGGGTTGGCCACACAGAAAACTCTGTTCTGGTGTATACGTGAAGCTGAATATACTGGAATAAATCAGACCATCGTTCCTTAGTAGCAGAAGGGGGACAGTGATTGGGTATCTCAACCATCTCCAATCAGGGCTGAATGCAGAGATATCAGGAACAACACACACTAACGACTTGGAATTCCTAAACAAACACAAAACAAAACAAAACAAAACAAAATTCATTTATGGGTTTGGGTGTGTGCATGCACACATATTTATATCAGTAGTGGGTTCCACTTACCTGCGCTACCGGTTCGGAACTGTGAGCGCGCTTGTGTGTGCGCGCTTCCTTCACTCGTGGCGCTTCTCCAGAGCATCTGGATTGACGTCCGGGTGGGTCGGTGGAGCCTCCCACCCAGGGGTGAAATGTAAATGTATTACTACCAGTTCTGTGGGCGTGGCTTGGTGGGGGGGTAATGTGACTGGATGGGCGTGGCCAATTTTTCTAATGCTTTGAAAAGCCTCTGGCGATCAGGCAACTCAGCTGGGATCGTCAGAGACTTTTCAAAGCATTATTTTTGTCATCTCTTCGGCCAAGAGGTTGCAGAAAAAAAATGCTTTGAAAAGCCTCTGAGGATCCCAGCAGAGCTGCGCGATCATCAGAGGCTTTTTGTTTTACTTTTAAAAGCATTTTTTCGTCGGAAGAGGTTGTAGAAAAAATGCTTTTAAAAGTAAAAAAAAAAAAAAAGAGCCTCTGATGATCGTGCGACTCAGCTGAGCATGGTGGGGGGTGCAGGGATTTTTGCTACCAGTTCTCCAAACCACCCGCCGCCATTGCTACCATATCGGGTGATCTGATCCAAACTGGGAGCATTTCACCCCTGCTCCCACCGCCACCACTACTGGGGCGAACCGGTAGAAACCCACCACTGATTTATATACATATCCATAACATGTGCCTTTTCTCCTCCCCCCTCCCGTCCCAGGATAGTCTCTCTAGATTTTTCAAGCAGTTAAATTGTAATCAATAGGTTTGTGTAAATAAAAAAGTGGAGAGTGTGGGTTTCAGTGCTCTTTCAAAACGTACTTCCTTTTTATCTGTGGAACTTGCACAGGCAAAGCAGAATGGCAGCTGCTCTCCCTCTTTGCAGCTCTACACAGGCCAGCTTTCCAGGACTATTTTGTAAACAGGGCATCCAAACGCAGCACCAAACTGGGACATCTATTTGCTTAGCTGCTTAGCTGTGGAACATTTCCACAAGCCATGGCTTCATATATACCTCTTGTGGCAAAAAGAAAGTCTTCTACTTTTTTTTTTTAATTTGATTTATATGCCGCCCTTCTCCGGAGACTCAGGGCGGCTTACAATGCGTTAAGCAATAGCCTTCATCCTTTTGTATATTTATACAAAGTCAGCTTATTGCCCCCACAACTGGGTCCTCAATTTACCTACCTTAGAAAGGATGGAAGGCTGAGTCAACCTTGAGCCTTGGCGAGATTCGAACCTGCAGTAATTGCAGGCAGCTGGTCTTAATAACAGGGTGCTTTAGACCACTGTACTACCAAGGCTCTACTTATTTCTTGAATATGGGTTTCCAATTGGTACCTGGTTGAGCAATGTGAAAAGAAGGATGCTGCATTAAGTAAGCCTTTGGTGTTTGGTTTGGTTTGGTTTGGTTAGCATAGTATGCAGGATTTCATTGTCTGATTTTGAACAGTATCTTTTCTGCATTATGTTCGTGACTTTGTGCAGTGTGCTACACCTAGAAGCAAACAATTTGAACCCTAGACTTATTCATTATAGTAGCTTTCCATTAATCTTTCTTCCATAAGAAGTAAGAGACCTTGAGCTGTTTGTATTGTACAGCCAAGAGAAAGAGGCATATTGTTGAAATGTTGATTTTACGAGAAAGAAGGCTTGGGTTTTCTACTTTGCAGTGAATGGAATTTTTCTTTGTAGCTTTTATAGTTTTGGCAATAAATTTATTTAAATCCCTACCCATGTGATAGATCTGGTATCAGCCACAAGATGCCTGACATTATATACATGAAATAAAAATTGGAGATTTTGGGACCCTGTTTCCAAACTTATCAGAAAGGGAGTGTTTGTCTTCTTTTCATAGAAACCATGCAAATTACATTGCTGCTGCTGTGTGATTTAGTTATCTCTTTGTCAGGCACAGGGAACTTGAGATTTTAGAAGGTGCTGCCTTCTAATACTGGTATAAGTAAAAAAATAAATGAATTACTAAACACAACAACCAATATTGCACCGATCCCTTTCACTCACTCCTGATTTCTCTGGAAGAGATGCTTTTGGAAGTTGTGCAAAGAATAGTGGCCGGGAGACTTGCCCAACTGATCATGCTGTGCAGTGCTGGGTTTCAAATTTTTTTACTACCGGTTCTGTGGGGGTGGCTTGGTGGGCGTGGCAGAGGAAGGATACTGTAAAATCTCCATTCCCTCCCCACTCCAGGGAAAGGTTACTGCAAAATCCCCATTTCCTCCCAGTCAGCTGGGACTCGGGAGGCAGAGAATAGATGGGAGCAGGGCCAGTCAGAGGTGGTATTTACTGGTTCTCCAAACTACTCAAAATTTCTGCTACCGGTTCTCCAGAACTGGTCAGAACCTGCTGAAACCCACCTCTGATGCTGTGGTTTCAGGACAGTCTGTATTTGCTTTACCTGTACATAGTCTCTGCTTCCACATCTCCAAACCAAATTTTCATGTTTGCATGGAAATAGTTGCCTTGGACTTCCAGCATTGCGACATCCCCTCCACCGGTCAGCTGTGGAAAACAAACCCAAGCATAGGATCATCCATCTTATCATGAAAGTACAATATAGCCTTTCCTCCCAGCACTTTGTCCTAATTTTGCACCTCTGTGGATTTTAAAGCAAAGATACTCATATTTTGACCTGGAAGGCTTTTTGGCTTTGCACAGAAGTCTATAACTTCTGTAATGTCAATGGGCTGAAAATTTAAAGCTCTCCAGAGATTATGGAACTGTAACACCTGTTGTCATAAACACTATCCATTAAATCTAGGGCTGAGCATTGAATACCTGGAGAAATGTGGTTTCCCAGTTTTCTGATATATCTGAGCCATGCTTGGGGTGGGGGGATTAAAATGTATTGATGCTTATAGAAGTCACAGTACTAAATAAATAATTTAAACGGGAAAACAGAAGACTTTGATATGGTTCATATAATGTAGTTTCCAAACTGCATTAAGAGAACAGAAAAAACCCTCAGGTTATGATTACTTTTATGCCTCGCATCTGAATGCCTCCAAGATATGGAAGAACACAAGGCACCAACGTAATCCTTCATTTTAATCTCATAAATAAACATATTTTTCTGCAGCCGCACTTCAGTTGCTGCTTTCTGTTCCACAAGGAGCTCCATGTTAGCCTTGTGCATTCTATATTAATTAATTCATACCAATTGCCAGTTTCTGATTCAGTGAAAACAGAATGTTCTATCTAAGCTGTTTGTAGAGATGGTTGCAGAAGTAAAGAATAATTTAATACACTCTGCACAATCTTTTATTGCCATTTCAAGGAAACTGAATGAATCTTCAGGTTTTTGTTGTTAGGGCTGGAGATAAAGTTATTAAGATGAAATAGCCAATGCTTTGTCCCCTGATTTTTTTGCACAAAGCAGCAAGGCAAAAGAGCATGGGGGAAAAAAAACCTCTATGTACCTCCAAGGTTGTTATAAGAGGGACAGGACCCAATGGATTCTGGATGCTGGTTGGGTTGAGGCTGAATGAGTATTCCACAGCCTCTGTCCCAATGATGGTCCAACAGGAACTGTCATTCAGCAATTCTCGGTTTATTTCTTTGGGACAGGGAGATGCCTGCACAGCAATAAATATCAACTTTGAATATATTCATCAATGTGATTATAAATCACTTTTCTGTCTACTGAAATGCAATTATTCTACAAAATCATCACAAATACAAAGCGGAGAGATAGATACCAGTAGATAGATTTATTTAAAACAATCCAAAGTAATAATAACATTATTTAAAAGCCAGCAAAGTCTTGATTAAAATGCAATAGAAATGGAGCCAGCCTGTTTTACTTTGAAAGAAGATTCTTTCTACTTAGAGCTAAGGAATGGAATTAAGGCAATCCTTTTCAAACTTGGCAACTTGTATAGACTTCAGCATGCCCACTGGGAATTTTGGGAGTTAAAATGGCAAAGTTTGAACATCACTTAACTAAGGCAACTAAGACAGCACTGACTATACCAATTTCCATGCTAGCTAGAGATCCCGTAGTCCAGTTATTGTGAATGGCAGATTGGGTAAGCCTAAAGCCTGATTGGTATGGTAGTTGCCATTTTCTACTAATGTTTGATAGAATGATGTTAGTGAAATAATGAAATGCTTGAATGGTTAAAACAGTGGAATTATACAGGTCGCATAAACTTTCAACTTTCCATTTCAGTATTTTTACCTTGCAACAAAAAAGAGCAAGGGCTTTTTTTTTAGTATCTCCCCAATTAATTTCCCCATTTCTACGTTGCTGAAGTGGCCTTATGACCATGGGAAACTGTAATCACATCCAGTTCAGATAAATCTTTAGTCAAGCTTTGGCAATTATTTCAGTGTGCTCAGGGGGCAATGAAAATAGCCATCTGTAATTCTTCAGTTGTGTCCAATTAATATGGTGATATATAATCATACACTTTTCCTTCTGATAAGTCCCAATTTTTGTGGGGAAAAAGGGAAGTCTTTTTCCCCACAAAAGTGTGGTCTATTCAGATAGTCTTCTGCATATACTGAACACACGAAGGGAAGAGTAACAATGTTCATCATGGTCATTCTCTATATCCTCTATGCAGTGGTGAAATCTAATTTTTTTTCCTACCGGTTCTGTGGGCGTGGCTTGTGGGGGGGGTCATGTGACTGGGTAGGTGTGGCTATGTAGTCATGTGACTGGGGGATCAAAAGACAGAAACTCACTTTAACAATGTCCTGCTGGAGTAGGGGCTTGGACTAGATGACTTCCAGGTCCCTTCCAGCCCTGGATTGATTGCTGTGCTCTTTCAAGGTATCACCTGAAGCTGCGTCTAATGCCAGGTTTGTGGTCCTTCCTTCCTCTCCTTTTTCCCTCCCTCCCTTTTTCTTTCTTTTGTTCTATTTCTTTCTTCCCTCCCTCCCTCCCTCCCTCCCTTTCTTTCTTTCTTTCTTTCTTTCTTTCTTTCTTTCTTTCTTTCTTTCTTTCTTTCTTTCTTCTCCTTCCTTCCTTCCTTCCTTCCTTTCTCAGCACCCCCTCACTCCCTGTTTTTGGCCTCAGGGAAGCCTTCTGGCAGCAAAAATGGACTTCCCCCAATAGGTAGTAAAAAATGCTTTAAAAAGTAAAAAAAAAGTTCCAAGGATCACGTGACACAGCTGATTGTCACAGCTGATTGTTGGAACTTTTTTTTTACTTTTTTAAAGCATTTTTTTTACTACCTATTGCCCGAATAGGTAGTAAAAAAAATGCTTTAAAAAAGTAAAAAAAAAAAAATCAGATGATCAGCTGTGCCGCACCATTGTCAGAACTTTTTTTTTTACTTTTTAAAGCATTTTTACTACCAGTTCCACGAACCAGTCACATTTATTATTACCAGTTCGGGAGAACCGGCCTGAACCAGTAGCAATTCACCCCTGCCTCTATGGATAGGAGGTAAATTTCACAGGTATCTAACACTAGTTCTCTAGAGGTCTAAACTATACATGGAGCCTGTGCACTCCCAGAAGTTTTAACAGCTCAAAAGATTTGTTTATTCTTGAAGATTAAGGAGGATGGGGAGGGGGGAGGACTTATTTGCTCATATTTGCTTTCACTTCTCATTTGTTGATTGGATTTCTTCCTCTGACTACAAGCAAGAACATCCTTGTTTATACTCAAACACCTTGAACAACTTCAAACTTTGTGGCTACCTGCATTATATTTAATTCCAAGCTAGGTTGGTTATTGGAAGACAACCGCATCCACATTACCTGGTACTGGATTACGTTCTCTGTCGAGAGGCAGAGGTACATCCTATCACTCCCATGAAACTGGAATGCACATTTATGCAACTGGGAAACTGGTTCATCCACATCCAACATTACCGATTGCTTAGCAACTTTGCGAATGATCTCAAGAATAAATAGACATAACAAAAGTTCAAAAGAGAACAAAAAAACCATTTGACCTTTGCAGTTGAGTTCAGATTTTTAAAACTATGCTTCAGAGGACAGAATAGGAACAAAAATGGGAAGCTATGCAAAGTAGGGTCGTCCAAGGATTGTAGTCGGGACTTATGCAAAGCCCTCCAACCACGACTACTATCTACTCTTTGAATGGGAACTTACAACCAAGAGTTCTCCCCCCAAAAAATTGTGCACCAGCTGTGGGAGGTTCCCAAACCTATAGTCACTCAGTCTTGCCAAATTAAGCCTGAGCCTGTTCTTTCCATTAAATGCTGAGAAAGCACCTTGATGATATCACTCATCAACCAATTGTATTTGAACATGTATAACAATATATTGATATTACCTAAATATGTGCCATTGGATGACTTCACCCAACAACTTCATGTAGATGTTAAATAAGAACAGGAACACAGGCAAGCCCTATGGAACCTCACTCTTTAGGGACTTAGAGGTGGGCCCCTTCCACACAACACCATTTGGAACTGAATTGCACAACCACATCTTTTTACATTTGTTGTGGATACTTCTGCTTCTCTATTAGTCTGCAGCAATCCTCTAATATTATGGCTGATGAATATCTCTGTTTTATGTAGTCACTATATAACTTTTGTGTAGGTATAGGATGAAGAGAGAAGATGATGATTGCAAGCACCAAGAATACTATTGTAAAGTTACAGACTATTCCAAAATGTTACTTCTGCAGTGGTTTTTTTTCTTCCAACTTATTATTAAAACCTTACCAGAGGAGGCAGTGCTAGCCCAGTAGTTGTACAGATAAGCCGTACTCTGGAACCATACCGAATGTAGACTTCCCGCAGTGGAAATCCGCCCTGGGATTGAGAACAGAACTCATCTGCATAACAAAAGGAAAGGAGAGAAAACAAAAGGAGAGAAAGACTAAAAGATGATGACAAGGAGCAAGAACTGGACTTAACCACAGCACTGTATTGAATGGCAAGGTGGGTTTTAAAAATGCTGCTTGAAATATAATGTGATTTTGGTCCCATCTATTACACTAATCTATGTAAGTTCTTATTAAAAAAAAGATATCAACTGGCCATCAAGCTGCTAACAAGCATTGTTTACTGAATACCCTCCAGATGCATTGGAATATAAATCCTAGAACTCCCAGCCAGCATACTCCAGCCTGATAATTGCCTTCTCTGGAAAGGTTATTTAAACAATATGATAATCGCATTTCCAGAAATGGAAGAGCAACTTCACAACCAAGGACATCTGCAAGGGAGATTAAAAAAGGCAAGATGGCTTCGATGACCATGTGGTGACATCTCTTGACTTTCATGACTTCACTTATATACTACCGGGTTTCCCCGAAAATAAGCCCTCCCCCAAAATATTTAAATGCATGTGCAGTTGTTCCCCGCCATTTCCTCTGATTAGGGTTAGGGAGACAGAGCTGGAAATCAGGTAAGACGACAAGAGAAGCCCCATCTTGCTCCACGCGCCCCAAAATAATAAGACATTCCTGAAAATAAGGCCAAGCACTTGACAGGGTCTTATTTTCAGGGAAACACGATATATGTCCCTATTCCTAGTATTGGTAACAATGTTACATCCATTCCTTTTAGAAAACTGACATCTATTTCAGATGTTAATGTGATACGCTAAATCACCTGTCTCCAAAGCTTATTGGAGGTTTAAGCCCAATCTCGTAGAATCATAATGTATACTTTCACTTCAGTATCAAAGTTTATTCAGCCTTTCTCCATTTTGATAGTCATTAAACCACTCAAGGTCAAAATGTCATTAAGCAATTGGGTAAACAGATTTGCAGTTAGGCTACAGCATGAAGGATTAAACCTCTGCTTGCCCTAAACCAGCCTCACCTAGATGAAGTGTGAATGCTGCCCACTGCCGGGCACTTGCAGTGAAGGCATCATCCTCGACAAAAAGGTAGCGAGTGCTGACAGTTTGTGAGCGCAGGCGATTGAAGAGAGAGACCTTTGATCCAGATAAAATGCACACTAGGAAATTGCAAGTGGGAGAGAGAGGGAGGAGGAGGGAGGGTGGGAAACAAGTTTGGAGATTTTATGTGTATATTTAGATTTTTATTGCCGTACTTTTCCATATATACGATGCTACTTTTTCTTAAAAACCTTTACTTGAAAATGGAGGGACGTCTTATATACAGGAGGCCAAGAGGAGAAGACTGTACATGCCGGATGAGCCTCTATTCTTATATGCAGCTCTATCGTTCCTCTCTTATTGTAGTTGTTTCCTGTATCACATTGCCACTCTAGGTTTCATCTCTATTGTTCCTGTGATGCATTTTCTGTTCTTGTTGTATTACTCACTCTAACAAGATGGCTTCTGCACAGCGATGGCTGGTAGTGTGCTTACTACAAGAAGCTACATGAAACATGGGCGCATCTTATACATGGGGGCCAGAAGTGAGTTTCAGTTTTGTTTGCTACTGGTTTGCTCATGGGTGCGCGCATAGAGACATCTGGGCGGGTGGGCGGAGCCTCCCGCCGCTTCTACTGGTTCGCCCCATCTGGGGTGAACCGGTAGCAACCCACCACTGATGGGGGCATCTTATACATAGGGCCATCTTATAGATGGAAACATACGGTAGTTATCTTGATATTGTAGTCCTAGGCATGTAGATACAGATGGGCTTAAACTGAACAACCCAGGTAGGATTGTTCTACACTGATGTGAATTGATAAAGATGCTGTCAATGTGACCCTAGCTTTGCACTTCTAGCTGGTCAGACCTTTCCTTGGCCTGCAGCTCTTCTGCTCTGTGTTATCTGCTTTAACATAAAAAGCTACCTAAGCACCATCTACCACCCCATCATTGTTCTAAGTGACAGCACCTCTCCAAAGGCTCAGAAGGAGAACTTTTCCATCTCCGGCTACCTGATTTTATTCTCTGAAATGTCAAAGCAAAGCAACCATGTCCTATGCACTAGCCTGTCTTAATATACTAGTACCTTCTTTAATGTATTCCAGTCTACCACCTCTCCTGCCAACAAGGCCATCCCAAAGGACTTACAGCAACTTCTCTTCATGGAAAGACTTACGGTCTGTGTTCTTCAGGGACTGCTTTTTCTGTGAGGGCTTGGAGATCACTTTGATCCGCTTGCTGTGGAATGTGCCAATCTCCTGCCCATTGCTGAAGAACAGCTTCAGGGCTAGCCGGAAGTGTTTCCTTTTGTCAGAGTCTGAGATGTAGAGTGCTTTGGCGCAGCTGAATATCTACATTAAAGGAGGAGGGGATATTGATTGGCATGAAGTGGAAGGAGGGCTTGAGATCTGAGGTTTAGGGATGATAACCTGACATAGATTAGCATAATGGGAAGAAGAAATAACCTTGAGGAACAGGAAGATCTGTTAGTCATCAGATTAAAGAAACCTGAGTCCAGAGAAGAATTGTAACCTGAGAAAATATCTCAGACAAGATTCTCCATAGTTCTCATGAAGCTAAAGAGAGGGAGGGAGAAGGACATCAGACTTTCAAGAATATATTATCTGAGCCATAGTGGCACAATGGTTAGAATGCAGTACTGCAGGTTAGCTCTGCCCACTGCCAGGAGTTCGAACCTGACCTGCTCAAGGTTGACTCAGCCTTTCATTCTTCTGAGATTGGTAAAATGAGGACCAGGATTGTTGGAGGCAATGTGCTAATTCTGTAAACCATTTAGAGAGGGCTGTAGAGCACTATGAAGTGGTGTATAAATCTAAGTGCTATTGCCATTGCTATATTAAAACTGTATTGGCCTGCTTGGCTCTGGTTTCCTCGTCTGGTCTATTTTGAATGGCTGACAGTAACACCAATTCACTGGGGGAGACAAATAACTGGAGGCATTGGAGTAAATAACACTTGGAAGTTCTCTGGTGGGACCCAGAAGAAGGGCCTTCCCTGTGGTGGCTCCCTCTGTCTAGAACACCATTCCCCCAGAGATTAGAATGGCCCCCACTCTAGTACTCTTCTGGAAGGCGCTGAAGACCTGGTTCTGCCAGAGGGCCTGGGGAACCCAGAGCGGGCCTGAGCCCATTAAATGGTTCGTATGATCTGCTGTCACTGGGGCGGGGAGTGGGGTGGGTGGTTTTATTATATTATATTAATTTATTTGATTCTTTTTATTAGTTTTATTGTTTTAAATGTGGTTTTATATTCTGTAAGCCACCTTGACTCGCCATGGGCGAATAGGCGGCTACATAAATTCAATAAATAAATAAAAGAGCATTATTGAGCAATAACTGTTCAAGTGGCAGAGCTATTAATATTTTATTTCATATGGGCCTTGGCTAAATATAGAGCTTTTCCTTCTTCTGCAAAGGTTCCTCCCCACAGAAGAAAGATGATATACACAAAAGTGTTGCCTTTGATATTTACACTCTTTCCATTTACCCTGCTGGTAGAAAGGTTTTCCAGCATTCTGTAACGTTTCCAAAAAATTAGCCGATTGGAAGTAGAAATGGAAGAGAAGAAATGGAAACCTTAAAATGATCCGAATGACCCTTAAATTATACCAGACTCCCAGAGACTCTGCACTCTCTAGAAGTGTGAATTCAAGTCCCAGAATTCTTAGGAATGACCGTGCTCACTGGAGAATTCTATAGATCTTGCATGTGTCCAGATTGGAGAAATTTAAGATATACCATCATTAATCGTTTTAATAATCATTTCTATTTCAGGAAGACTTAGCAGGGATTCTTTAAATAACCTATCATCACAACAACCAACCAATCACAATGACTTACTACTAGTAGTCCGGCTTTATTTTGTGCTACTTAAGATAGTGTACATAATGTTCCCACCTCCTGTTTTCCCCACAACAACAACACTGAGAGGTCAGCTGGGCTTAGAAAAAGTGTCTGACCCATGGTATTAAGCCAACTGTCATGCCTAAGAGACGACAATTTATTTATTTATTTATTTATTTTTCAGATTTCTATACCACCCTTCTCCTTTTGGACTCAGGGCGGTGAACAGCCAAATATAAAACATTCGTACACAGAAGTTAAAATAGATTTAAAATGATTAAATAAAATTTAACTTAACAATAACTTCTGGTCTCCCATTTTCTAATCCAGCAGCACTTTAGCCTTTCTAATTCCTGCAGCCAGTGTCCAGAGTAAGCAAAGTGATACATTTAACTGAATATACTATTCTATTTCAAAAGATTGAAATGGAAGTTTTGAAGCACAAAAGGGGCAGAACAAAACATTATAAAGCATTAGTAAAGAACAAAGTGGTGCGTTTAAATGGTTAATATAATCATGATCACAATGTTGTCAGTAAGAATAAGACGCAGAGTAAGACTTAAGCAAGAATCTTATCAGATTAAAAAAAAATTCAGCAGTAATTGAAGTCCAAATTGCACAACCTCCTTGCCAAATATTGTGAATAAGTGCACAATCAAGAAATATAAAGGAACTAGTTTGAAAGATCTCACTCTATGTCATCCAGCTTTTAGAGGGTCCCTTCTTAACATGAGCTCAGTTTGTCATCCATGAGAACGAAATATGGGATCAAGTAGCTCCCACTGAAGTTTATAATAGTCCCCATTTCAAAGCCTTTGTGGTTCATATAAAGGGAGAGGTGGGTTAGGGATGTTATTACAGGTGAAATGCAAAATATGGGTCTCGTAGATATTTTATTGACTTAGCAGTTAGGGAAATCCAAATGGAAAGGCGTATTCATACGTATTTGCTTTTCTGACTGCAAAGAGCAGGGGTCCCCAAACTTGGCAGTGTTGTGGTCCACCAGCAGCCTGGGGAGCTGGCAGCAGAGTCGGACAGTGAGGAGGCTGGGGAGGAACATGGGCCAGTCCTGGAGTCTGGGGAAGGCTTGGACGAGGGCTCTGCATCGGAGACAGAGAAAGGGCCATCTGGGAGGTACTGTACATGCTGCCTCCGGAGCCTCCAGAGTCGGACCTCAGCGAGGCAGAGGAACAGGGGGAGCCTGTTCCCATTGCACGCATGCACAGAGCTGCCAGAAGGCAAGAACAGTTAAAACAAAAGGGACAACTTGGGAGTAAGCCTTGGAGATGATTCATCCCTCCCATAAGACTTAAAAGAGGAGCAAAGGCATTTGGGCCTTTGCAGGAAGCAACATTGTTAATTCTGTAGTTTAAAGTCTGAAGCTCTGTTTGATTCTGGACTCCGTGTGGCTTTGCCAATTAGGTCTTTGGTAGCGTGTCAAGGGAGATAAAGATGGGTGATTATCAGCCTTATCCCGAAGGACTCTTTACAACTATTTGGGACTCATCTGTGAATGAACAGAATTCGCAGCTATTAAAATAAAACAGGTTTTGGGGACTACTCATGGGTTTTACTGACTCAGGAAGCCTAGGTCAGAACAGGCAGCTTTAAGACTTGTGGACTTCAACTCCCAGAATTCTCCAGCCAGCATAGCTGGAGAATTCTGGGAGTTGAAGTCCACAAGTCTTAAAGCTGCCAAGTTTGAAGACCTCTGGCAAAGAGCCTCCTAGGTTTACTGTTCCCAGTCATCTTGGCGCTTTCTTTGTTCTGATAGGCTTTGCTTTTACAATGAGTTAAACATTGGAAGCACAAAGGTTGCTACTGTAGCTCGGTTGGCCCTCTTCTGGCCTCTGCATTCTTCCAGGGCTGTGATAATGCTGCGGACATTTTTGTTCTATTAAAAAGATGCCAAGAGATATCTCTCACTCTTGATCTTGGGGGGCCCACTCTAGTGTTTTCTTTCCCTCTTTATCTTCCAATAAAGAAGGCACTTTTACTTGGCAGCAATCAGGATCAGGCTTTCCAGGGTAATCTCTGGCAGACCTCCCACTGCCATGAACATCAAAGGCCACAGCAAAGAGAGATGAGCTTCTTTGAAGCCCCATAAAAGGTTACATTTTTTTATGGTTGTCACATGCAGGAAAATAGTACAGAAAAAGAGTAATTGGGCTAAGGGTTTTATGAAGGATTCTGAGGAACTAGCTGATGTTTGAATGGCTTTGATGTATATGTAGGTAGACCTCATTTAACTGAACTGCCTCATGCAGCAACCATTGAAGTTACAATGACGCTAAAAAAATAACTGAAATCAAGGTGCACATTTATGTGCTGAGGTGGCACAGCCCAGGTGGTACAGTGGTTAGAGTGCAGCGCTGCAGGCTATTTCAGCTGACTGTTAGCTGCAGTTTGGCAGATCGAATCTCACCAGGCTAAAGATTGACTCAGCCTTCCATCCTTCCGAGGTGGGTAAAATGAGGACCCAGATTGTTGGGGGCAATATTCTGACTCTGTAAACCACTTAGAGAGGGCTGTAAAAGCACTATGAAGCGGTATATAAGTCTAAGTGCTATTGCTATTGCTATGACCCTCGAAGCATCACTCAGTTTTATGTCTGTCATTACAGTCAGCACTCTTGTCCTGTGCCTGACCCATTTTTTCTTCCTCTCACCCCAAGAGACCAGAGATATTGCCTAAACAAGTGATCTCTTCCTGAGTTGCTTTGTTTTGCAGCCTGGCTTCAGCTGCTGCCTGAAATTGACAAGACCCTAATCCATTTTACACTAAAGGCTTTTGTTTGCCTCCTAAGCAGCTCGTTTGGCAAACAGCTAGGGCATTCCTTTCCATGTATACTCCCCCTTGTGTGCCTGCTTACTCTCCTGTAATCCTCTTCTCTCCAATGAATGTAAATACAAGCATAAATTCCTTTCTTGCTAATTATCCCAGCACCAGGATGAGCATGCCAAAGGACAGGGGAGTGGGAAAAAGGCACAGCTGAAGTAAGCACAGTCTCAATGATTTTCCACTTACCAACTGCATCACATAGCAGTTGTGGGTCCAATTATGGTCAATAAAAAAGAACCATGTGTAACAATTAACATTTTAGCTCACTAAAGGTAAAGGTTCCCCTTGCACATATGTGCTAGTCGTTCCCGACTCTAGGGGGAGGTGCTCATCTCCGTTTCAAAGCCAAAGAGCCAGCGCTGCCCAAAGAAATCTCCGTGGTCATGTGGCCGACATGATTAAACGCCAAAGGCACACTGAACACTGTTACCCCCCACCCCACCAAAGGTGGTCCCTATTTTTCTACTTGCATTTTTATGTGCTTTCGAACTGCTAGGTTGGCAGAAGCTGGGACAAGTAATGAGAGCTCACCCCGTTACGCGGCAGTAGGGCTCACTAAACACTAGGCCCTTAGCTCACTAAGGGATCTGAATTTAGCTACTTCTGGGTAGAATCAGAACTTCCCTGTTCTTCAAGTATTTTTAGCTCGCTGACTATCATGAGAGTGCATTGTATGGTCACAAGGAAAGAGACCTTCCTTTGCAACAGTGCCCTGATTGTGCAGTAACCTCTGTTTGGAAATGTACCAGCCATACACTTCTTTTTGACAGTAGTTATAAATCAGTTTCTCAGATATATTTAGGTAATTCATGTGAGCAATTTACTTTAATGTCTTTTGAGATTTCCTGAATGTTGAAAGTTAATATTTTATCAGCTTAACTTTAATAATATATTAGGATTTTTAAAATTATATTTCTGTATATAACATAAAAGACTATTTAAATAAAAAAACCCAAGAGAATAAATAAGAAAAGCTCAAACTAGGCATGATGATAAAGATGTCTTGCATTTATTGCATTAATAAAATCCTTTAAAGCAAGTGTGGAAAAGGACAATTTATTTTGCCTCCTGTCTTGCTGTCCTGAACAAAATCCTTGTCCTGAACTGTTCTTTGTATTAACAAAAGTACTTATTGTTGGCACTTAAAGGGAGAATTTTTTTTTCACAATCCAAAAGAATTTTCATCGGAACCATAATAAGGAGGGAAAGGTTAGCTTCCATTCTGCCCTTGCTGAAATGCCAAAAATAATCAGCTTTCCCAAAGGCAGTGTTTCTTTTAAAAAGTGTGCATTACATTCTGAGATGCATTTAACACATCTGATCTTCAGAGGATTTTGGCAGCTGCTGCTAACTGCCAGGTTGGTCTGTAAAATGCTTCCCCCCTCCCCTTACCTGCAGTTTAATCATTGCTACTATTTCTATGTATGGCTATGAAAGTTGGACCATAAGGAAGGATGAGCGTCAAAGAATTGAGGCCCTTGAACTAGGGTGCTGGAGAAGACTCTTGTGAGTCTCTTGGACTGCAAGGCGATCAAACCAGTCAGTCCTAGAGGAGATCAACCCTGACTGTTATTTAGAAGGCCAGATCCTGAAGATGAAACTCAAATACTTTGGCCACCTAATGAGAAGGAAGGACTCACTTGAGAAGTGCCTAATGCTGGGAAAGATTGAGGGCAAAAGAAGAACGGGATGACAGAGAATGAGGTGGCTGGATGGAGTCACTGAAGCAGTTGGATTGAGTTTAAATGGACTCCAGAGGATGGTAGAGGACAGGAAGACCTGGAGGAACATTGTCCATAGGGTCGCGATGGGTCAGACACAACTTCACAACTAACAACAACTATTTCTATATATATTTGAGCCAGCTTACCTTGGAATCCAATTGTTCTTCAAAGTTTAGCTTCTGCATTTCTACATGGCTACTGCCCATGCTATCAAGTCCTATATACCCACATATCTGGGAAATGGACCCTGTTACATCTTTGTCTAGACAAAAAAAAAAAGGAGACAGAAATGTCACATCACCATTCTACGTGTCTAAGAAGGAATGAAAGCTGAAAGAACTCTGCATTTCTTTTTTCTATATATGCTGTAATATCTGCTAGCTATTTATGTTACAGTATTGCATTTCTACTCTTTCTTTCTTCCCGTATGGAACAAAACCTGCACCCAATATAAAACAGCCCTATTTAGCTTTAGTAGGTTGAATGTCTGTCTCAGATTCTCAGTCATTCAGGTCATAGTTGTCTCAAAAGTGCTTTTCTCCCCCTTCTTCTTCAAAAGGCAACTGGATTGTTTTTTCCTTGAGGAAGAAGAAAACATTTCACTTTGCATCCAAAAAGCTTCATCAGTTCTGATGGGTATGTGTGGAATGGAAGGATAGGTTACTGACAATTGAGACTGGGTGGTGGGGAGATGGAGAGATAGGTTCTGACAGGATGGTGGGTGGGGAATGGAAGGATTGTATTCAGTGGTGAAATCCAATTTTTTTTTACTACCGGTTCTGTGGGTGTAGCTTGGTGGGCGTGATGTGACTTGGTGGGCATGGCTTGGTGGGCATGGCAGGGGAAGGATACTGCAAAATCCCCATTCCCTCCCTACTCCTGGAGGAAGGCTATTGCAAAATCTCCATTCCCACCAGACTCTGGGACCAGCCAGAGGTGGTATTTGCCCATTTATTTATTTATTTATTGGTTCGATTTAGAATTCTGAACTACTCAAAATTTCTGCTACCGGTTCTCCAGAACCTGCAGGATTTCACCCTGATTGTATTTCTTTGCAGTCATCTGGTTGTTAGCACTCTCCCTGAGAGCTCTTGAAGCAACTTGATGGCTTATGTTTGCCCTCAGGGTCACCTGAATCAGGGTGCAATTGGTTATGGAAACTTCTTACTGCAAGGGTTGCGTTGTAACTTGGAGATAGTTGGTGTCTTATTCCTCCCCCTCTGTTGAGGAAGAGGTGTTCAATTCTAACATAGATGGATTCTTTTACTCCTCTTTCAAACCAATGGTCCTCTCTATCCAAAATGTGGACTGTAGTAGGATGCTTCTAAGGATAAACAATTGTCTTTGATTTGCTACATATCTGTTTCTTAATTTTATTCATCTAAGTCATATCTTAGTTGCATACCATATGTAGATTTCCAAGAGAGCATACGGTATAGAATGCACAATACAGCTTTATGCACAATTTCTTTCAAACACATTTTTATCTGATTTCTGAATCAGACTTTAAAAGATATTTTCTTTAAAAAAACTATACAAAAAATTATATACCTAAGCACAAAAATGATGTAATATTCCAATATACACATCATTTTTTTTGCAAAATATCTTTGTGCATATTATGTATGCAACTATCTTTAATATATTAAGGGTTTTTTCCTTCTGTATTTTATATATTCTTTTTTTAAATAGATACTTTATTTGTGCAAAAAATAAAATATATATATAAAAAAAGGATTAAGTAGGAAAAATAGTGAAAGGGACGATGCAAAGGAATAAGGAAAGAAGAAAAGAAATGTAAAAAGAATAATTTCCAACTTTCTTTGAAACAAATATAAAATATGTTAACCTTTTGATATAAAATTCAATATTATACAGCATTTCAATAATGAAAAACAATTCTAACTGTCAAATCCCAAAATTAATATAACATCTATTTTGCTTTCTAGCAAAAAGTCCAAAAGTGGTTTCCACCTAGAAACATAGCTAGACATTATCTTTCTCTATTTTGTATTTTTATGCATTATATTTTTATTTCTTGTTTTTTGCTTTATTAGAGAAACGCGTTACAAAATTCAAAATATTGCTTAATGCATTGTAAGCCGCCCTGAGTCTCCGGAGAAGGGCGGCATATAAATCAAATTAAAAAAAAAAAAATACTATGGAAAACTGTATTCTGTGAATTCATTTTGAAACTTCATATTAAGTCAGTTTCTATTTAAATGTGAATCAAAAGAAGCACTATTCCATCACTAGCTGTTTATCATGTAATTTTAGCCCATCCCTGGGAATTAATCATGCATGTTAACAGCATGAGCTTTGCATGTTTATGCAAGTCCAAACTGATATATCTTCCCCCATCAAGTAGATTTGCTAGATCCTTTTCCTTATAAAGGAATTAAGTGCAAAGGGAAAGTGTCATGCATGCGTTTTCTTGAACTGCAATTAGCTTCTGTTGATGAAAGAAGACAAGAAATAGTGTTGCTGGTAAAGTTTGGTAAAGTTTTTGAAATTCTCCACCTAGAACAGACTCCTGTTTTCCACATGAGCTAAACTGGATGTCTACCAACAGGGCATAAAACCCCATTCCACTGGCTCTGAATGGGACATTCTGTATATGAGCATGTAGCTCTTATTCGCTCACTCCCTTCCACATGCTTGTTGAGATGCTCAGGAAATTCTAAAAGTAATTTATTTGTTTTTCTAGTTAAGCTATTACATCATCTCTGCCCAATTCAAATGAGGGCGTGGAATCTCCTATTCCTCAGCCTGGCCTGGCAATGCAATCAGATCAGTTTTCTAAAGCTGAGTTTGGCATATGCTTGGGAAATAACCTCCTTCTGCCCTCTTGTTGTGCCAGCAGATCATGAGTCTAAATTCTCTGTGGTTTGGATACAATTCCTGTAACGGCAGGTCAAGCTATAACCCAATTGCTTTCAAGCTTTGTGGCATTTTTTTTCTTTCAGGCTACCAGTTAAGCTGAAAAAGGAATGCTTCATACCCAGTGCAATTAACAGATGACAAGCAAACGAGGAAACTGAAGCTGAAGTAACCTTTTTCCTAAAGGAAAACACATCTCCTCTTGTTTTCCCTTGGAGCTCTTTGGCTAAGGTTGTTCGGAGAAGGCGGAAGAGCCTTAAATTAAGCAAAAGTATGGCTGTGACTTCTTGGTTGTACATGAAAAACAAAATTGCATGGTATGAGAGTATATTGATGAATGAATGGGGAACCCAGTGCCAGTAACAATTATGGTAAAGGTAAAGGTTTCCCTCACACATATGTGCTAGTCATTCCCGACTCTAGGGGGTGGTGCTCATCTCCGTTTCAAAGCCAAAGAGCCAGTGCTGTCCAAAGACATCTCTGTGGTCATGTGGCTGGCATGACTAAATGCCAAAGGCATACAGAACGCTGTTACCTTCCCACCAAAGGTGGTCCCTATTTTTCTACTTCCATTTTTTTACATGCTTTCGAACTACTAGGTCAGCAGAAGCTGGGACAAGTAACGGGAGCTCACCTCGTTACACAGCACTAGGGATTCGAACCGCTGAACTGCCGACCTTTCAATTGACAAGCTCAGCATCTTAGCCACTGAGCCACCACGTCCCTTCAACAATGATGGTGATAAATGTTAAATACCTCAAATCCATGACCTACTGCAGCTCTAAGAACTTTTCAATTTTTGCATTGTTTGCTATTTTGTATTGGGCCTTTGATCCAGCTGGTAAGAGTTGCATTTGAAGGCAGAGATATGCCAAATCAAGTAGTAGGTACATGTTCAGTTTTTTGTGGTAATGACCAATGGGAAGTGAGCATCAGCTGGCTGCTGAAGGTTGAAGATCTACCACTGCCCCACTTTGTGACAACTCGATTCCTATCTACCCTCTGTTACAAAAACAAGAAATAAAAGTATCATGTATGAAAATACAACATACAGGGGGAAAGCCCCTTAAATATATTAATCTGTGTTCTTATTTCCTTCTTACTTTTTTGTTATTTCTTTTGAATGGTGTGTAAATATGGTTTATCTCTATGTGCCTATTAATGGCTGATTTGTCTGAATGCCAAGAATCAAACCTGATTGAATGTAAGAAAAAAAAGATGATCACAGTTTCCTAGTTGAAACAATGGCTGAGTTTGTACACATGTTATGAGTTATCATTGTGTCTTGTTATTGCTAATTGATGCTCATGGATGTACTCTGCTAGTCTTAGATAGACAGAAGACTACAATACATATATTTTCTTCTATTGGAACTGTAATAGATATTCAATTCTATTAGGATATTACAGATAGATTTGGCATTCAGGATTATCAGTCTCATTCAGGATTATCAGTCTCATCTAGGTGCATCCAATAATTTTTATGATTTTGCAGTCCAGTTACAGTAGGTTAAATATTTTTTTTATCCTAACATAGAAGGTTTCCACAAACAGTTTCCCAACTTCTATAATTCTAATTCTTGGGAAACAAAGAGTGAACTAAAATGGATTATACCTTTAATTCCTTCCTTCTTTTGTTTCCAGCCTGGTCCACTGAGATATACACATGGGGGTGGGCAGAAGAATCTGATAAGAAAAGAAAATTCTGTGTAGTAAACAGTTAAACTAGGAAAGTTTCTTTAAATTTTTATTTTTCTGGAGAAATAGATTTCAAAATATTTATTATTTTATAAATGACATGAGGAAGGTTTTCAGGAGAGCAGTGCACAGGAAATCAAACCATAGTTTAGCATGATGTATAAATTCAAAGTTATGATGTGGCAAAGAAAGAGGTTAACATTTGTCTTCCTGATAATTTTACATGGGGCTCTTAAGGTGCCCCTTGATTTCACTAAAATATCCTCTGGGCCTGAAAAATTATTTAGTAAGAATTGGAAAGTTCAATCTGTTGAAAGAAGTCACCTTTTAAGCTTCAATTGATGTTTTTAATTTTTTGAAAAACAGATTTCCTCATACTATTAGGGATCACCTTAGGGATTAAAACAGATAAAGAATCTCTCTCGTTATTTATGTAACATAATTATATATATCCTTGAGACTGGATTCATATGGATTATGCTTAATTTTTGTATTCTTAACTTTTGTGACTACCTCAAATAGTTCATTTTTCAAAGAATAAAGTATTGTAACTGTACGATTGTGTCTATGACACAGGCACCTATGTTTAGCAGTAACATGTTTTACTCAAACTAATCTTGGGGATTTGCACAACATAGAAAGTAGTGAACTAAAAATAGAGCTGGGTTAACTCAAAACACCAGGTTAATATGTAGCTGGCTAGTTCAATGTGTATGTTTAATAGTAATAATCTCCCTCAGAAATGTTGTGAATTATGAGTACAAAATGTCTAGATTTCTTTTCCATTTTTGATTCTAAGTTTGCCAATGACTGGTCCTAAGTCATCTATTAAACTATATAACTCAATGTAGATTTGTTCAAAGTCATGTCTAACCCTAAACCCATGTCAGACAAGCTTTCAGATTAACCCTGTATATTATCCTGGAGATCTGCAGAAACATAGAAACAACACAAAATGAATAAATGCAAATGTTTTTAAAGCGTTGGATTGGATAGATTGCAATTACAACTGTAAATAAAAACAGTGACACTAAAAAAAATAATTCAAACCCATAAATCTTGCTCCTTCTTTGATCATAAACTGTGTTCAGAAATTCTTTTGTTTCTTTAACACAATTACTTTCTATTGTGTAAAACATGAATTTGCTTTCCTTTTTTTATGTTTCCAGTTTCAGACATCTGTACAAACCAGACACAATTATGAACTCATCAGCCCTGCTCTATGGAAGATGGTGATACTTATATAGGGGTAAAACTTTCATTTTATATCTAAGTAGAAATAAATCTTATTCCTATGAATTTTTTATGGCCTGTAATATGGAATCCTCAACAGATTAAGAACAGAGATTACATTCCCAGGCAAAACCTTAAACCAGCTCACGCCACAGATTCAAAGATTTGAAAACATGTTTTCTTGAGTGATATTTGAGTCTTCAAACTCAAATGAATAGCTGAGATTCATACCACATTGGTACTACATAAACATCAGTAACAATAAAGATGATAATGAAAAAAAACCCCATAATGAGTAGTTGCATATCCCCGTCCAACTGGTTACTTGAGGTTACTAATTGCAGAGTATTATAGAGCCCTTACTATTTCACACTATTCCATACTATTTCAAGCTTTACTTAACAAGGTAACAGAGGTAAATCTTAATTTATTTTCATGGGAAAAAGCTGAAACAAATCAATTTTCTGTGTTATTGCCACAATAGAGTGTGCCACATAACTTTCAAATCATGCCAATTTGTTGAAATAGATGAGAGCATGTAATTGTTTAAGGATTTGGCTTGCTTGCAAAAGGAGAAATGTGAAAGATTAATTCAAACCCTACTGCCTGTGGGCTGCCACAATCTATATTCCTTTCTGGAACATCCTGGAGCTTTTGTAGAGAAAAAGAGGTGAACAGGTTGAAAGAAGTTGATTGTCAAGCTATCTCTGGCATGGAAGCTATCCTCTTCCATGATTCCCTTCACACATGGTGACCCAGGAAACAGGACAACCTGACCAGATCAATAATGATAAACTTTTTAAAGTGGGTGAAGAAAAAAGTCACTATCAATGTATTCAGGCCATGGTCACCTCTGACCCAAACTGTCCCCAAAACAAGGGAAATCACAGTTTTTAGATGTAGATAATTGACAAACCTCCCACTAGGAAATTAAAGTGACCCAGAGCCTTTGGATAATTCATTCACATCATGAAAGAAGTATTTGCAAGAATGGGAACAGGCATCTGGCCAGGTTCCGACCAGCTATCAGCAGCTCCGTAATGAATTATTTAGGAATGAGTAGCAGTTGCAAAAAGTTTTGTTTCCATTAGGAAATTAGGAAGCAATCCAGAAGAATCTATGATAATGCAGGATCTTTGAGAAAGATTTCCATTTTCTAGTGATGGGACCTTTGCCAACTAGATAAGGAGAAAATGCGTGTGAGTGTACAACTTCAAGCTGAGATACTGCTTTCCATCTGGCTGTCAATGCACAGCCCTAATTGGAAATAAAAACCATCCCTGTCTTGCCATGGCACAATTGCCTCTGTTTGGAAGCTTTTTCCTTTCCTCAGTTTAATGGGAAGCATGGCTCCCTTGCTGTTGCTTTTAGAAGATCAGAAAGTACCACTTTAAAAAAGGAAGTGCCAAATTCTCATACGTGAACAGAAGCAGTGATAACTGTCAATGAGATTGAAACTATTTGTTCTTTTCAGGGCCAAAGTATGGGAGATTCTGGATTGGATCAGCATTATATAACCAATAAATGTCAAACAGGAAAATACAATATTACTATTATTGCATCTCAGCTAGTGGCGGAATTCTTTTTTCCCTTTGTTCCCTTGTAAGTTTCCTAGATAGGAGAGTGACCAGGAAATTAATTGGTGGGTGAGAAAGGGCATGCTAAACTATAAATCAGAATAGGCAAACTGTTTTTATTAAATGTTTTGGAAAACTAATATAAACAGAGAGAGAGATAAAAGAAAAAAAAAGAATAAAATACAAATAACTAAAAAAAGAGGTCTAAATTGTAGTGGAGATTATAGGTTTCTGATATATCATTAATTGTTTATGAATTATAGAACATATGCTTTACAAAATTAAGCATTGCTATTAAGCTTTAATCTGAGAATGCATATTATGGACCTTGGTCAACACAGTGCAGTAAAAATAACTGACTGAAATGATTAGCTAAACTGGATCAATATTGAGAATCTATTCTAATTGGATCTAATCCTACGATAATAGAATAGAATAACAGAGTTGGAAAAGACCTTGGAGATCTTCTAGTCCAACCCCCTGCTTAGGCAGGAAGTCCTATCTATACCATTTCAGACAAATGGTTATCCAATCTCTTCTTAAAAACTTCCATGCTGGAGCATTTACAACTTCTGGAGGCAAGTTGTTCCACTGATTAATTGTTCTAACTGTCAGGAAATTTCTCCTTAGTTCTAGGTTGCTTTTCTCCTTGATTAGTTTCCACTCATTGCTTCTTGTCCTGCCCTCAGGTGCTTTGGAGAATAGTTTGACTCCCTCTTCTTTGTGGCAGCCCCTGAGATATTGGAACATTGCTATCATGTCTCCCCTAGTCCTTCTCTTCATTAAACTAGACATACCCAGTTCCAGCAACCATTCTTTATGTGTTTTAGCCTCCAGTCCCCTCATCATTTTTGTTGCTCTTCTCTGCACTCTTTCTAGAGTCTCCACATCTTTTTTACATTGTGGTGACCCTAAATAGATTGTTAGGCTCAATATGCTGATGTTGTAAACCATTCAGAGAGTGCCATAAAGCATCATGGGGCAGTATATAAGTCTCAATGTTATTGCTATTGCTAATTTATGAAGCAGATTGCACTAAAACCAGTGAAGTTGTTTAACATTACTTGATTCCCAGATCTTTTTTAACAATTTCATTGCCCTCAAAAAACAGGCCAGTACAGCTTGCTCATAGTCAGTTAGTAAAAATTGACAGCAGTAATAAAACCAGCTGCACTGATTGGCCTGTTTTGTTTTTTTTTTTACAGCAAGCAAAATCTGCTTTCAGAAGGCACAGTGATGTCACTGTGCAAGCATCAACCTCCAGTCCCCTAATCATCTTTGCTGCTCTTCTTTGCATTCTATTAAAATATTGACTCTCTGTATATAGAAAAATCCAAATTATGAATGAGATACACCTATATGTACTAAGATATAGTTCAGGAATGTTCCAGTTAGAATTGTCCCCGCTCCCAAATTGTAAAGCAATGACTCTCAGCTTCTATCACTATTTATGAAGCCTTTGGAAATTGAATTTTAGCACCTTCCAGAAGACCTCTATCTTGGTAAACCAGGCATTTACAGAAGTCAATGGACTATCAAGAGATCCACAGTGTACTTCTCATAGTGTGCATTCATGTGCAAAGAAGTAGACTTATACTATCTAAACTATTGCAGAAATTTCCAGTGAAATCTACTTTTAACAGGAAGTTCAAATTGTTTCCTACCTTTTTTCATTCCCATATGATTTCTGAGCAACTTTTGCATGTAGTATCAGCACTGTCTGATCAGAAGGGAGCTGAAGATATCTATGCACAGCATCTTGGAGAGGATTGATTTGCTCTGGATTGAACCTTTATGGAAGATAGTCAACAGTACATCTTTCATATTTAGGAAGAATAAACAAAAGTACCAAGAAAGTGAAAAACAAATAGAAAAAAGTAAATGTAGTTATAATCTTTCTCTAATCAAACAAGTTAGTTTTGCCATCTCTGTTAGTTGTGTTATCTTTACAAACTATAGTAATCCCCTGATGTGGGTATTTTAGAGTCTTTCCATCTTGGGCCATATAATATAGGTAGTCCTCAACTTAGACCAAGGGGCAGTGCAGTGGCTCAGTAGTTACAGTAGGTTGATATGCTTGTTGGCTGGAAAGACTGCAGCCCAGGTTCAAGACCTGAGTGCCATGTGATGTGGTGAGCTCCTGTCCTTGCCCCAGCTCCTGCCAATCTAGCAGTTTGAAAGCATGCAAATGCAAGGAGATAAATAAGCACAACTTAGGTGGGAAGGTAACAGAGCTCCATGATGTCATGCTGGCCACATGACTATGGAAATGTCTTCAGATAGTGTTGGCTCAATGGCCTTGAAACAAAGTTGAACAACCCCCCTCCCCCATAGTTGGCAACAACTAGTGGAGTAAAGTTCACAGGGACTCCCAATTTACAGCCATTTATCGAGCAATGGAAATTCTGATCCCAGTTGTGGTTATAAGTCGAGGACTACCTGAAGTCTTGCAGCACTAATCATATCTAAACATAATTTTTCATGTTTTTTTTCAATTGGGTGTCCGCTAATCCCAGCGAGAAAAGTTCTGGTTTCAGCTGAATGTTAATCTTTAAACTTCTTTGTATCATTATGTGTATTTGAATCCTAAAATGTCTGGCTTTTGTATAAGTTCACAGACATGATAAAATGTCTCTTTATGTTGTCTGTATTTGCAACATAAATTTAAAGTATGGTACCTTTATAAATTCTAGACAATTTTTCTAGAGTCAATAGGGAGGAAGTGTTACATACTTAAAAGTATGCACACTTATTCAGAAACCCAAGTGAATCAATTTGGTGATAAAGCAGAAAGCATCTGCATTAATGTAAGTAGATGAACAAATAAAAGTAATTTCATTATTAGTATCTATTATCACCTGCTCAACCAAGAAAAAAGGTGCAGTATGCTTTCCAAGATCAAATTGCAGATCTTTCAGAGAGGCACAAAATAGTAATTGAGAACTTCAACCACCTAACATCTGTTGGGAAGCAAATAATAGCCTTATTGGTTATGCTTCTAATGCATTTGAATAAACCCTTCTCATTCTTCTCCTCTCTTTAGACTGTATTATCACTATTAATGTTTCTAATAATAAAGGAGAAAAGCAATTTCTCTCCAGACATTAGTTAGTATGCATAAAAATCTAGGAAGATGTAAATAAAATTTCAATTATACCAACTCAAAATTTGATGAACATGTTTTATCATTGATATTTCCAGTTGACCAGTCTTCAATACCACTTGCTTTTGCACAAGCATGAAAAATCAAGGCAAATTAAAGGGTGAACAATTCTTGTGCGCCAAGAACATTTTATGCAATTAAACATATCAGGACAGAAAGCAGTGGAATGTGATTAGAGTTGCTGCACAGACAACTCAAGTACATTCAAGATGAGGTACAAGGATAATGTGTTCCAAGATGCTTGTTTATCCTTTTAGGAATCGTGTGTATTTTGCAAATTTGAATCTTAGCCTCTTCATGTTTCTATGCATGGTTTTTCCTCTTTATTGTTAGTTCAATAACTGAAAATCAAAGACAACCAAAAGTATCACCCCAATGAAACAGGATTGCTAGGAACTTTAAAGATAGCACAACTGAACCGTAACAATGGTCATTGTAAAAACCCATCATAATGGAGAGTTGAATTATGTAGGCTAGGAGAAGGTAATGTTTGGGAGTTGTTTTGACAATACAAAAAGTGTATTCTCATAAAAAGTATATTCTCATGCTATAGAACAGGGGTGTCAAACTCAAGGCCCAGGGGCTGGATCCTGCAGGGCCACTCTAGAAACAGCAAAGGACCGGCCCGTGGTGCCTCTGCCACAGGGGTGGGTTCTACTTACCTTTACTACCGGTTCGCAACGGGGTTGCGCAGAAGCATTCTGATGACATCAGGGTCGGTGGGCGGAGCCTCCTGCTGGTTTTATTACTGGTTCTATAGAACCAGTGCGAACCGGAGGCAACCCACCACTATTCTCCAGCAAAAACACAGCTCGGGAGTCTTTCTTTTGCTGGCAGAGTGCTTGGACCACCACAGGCGCCCCTGATACGAGTGATGTTGAGCTGGCCACACCCACCCTGGCCATGCTCACCCCGGCTCCTCGAGGTCAAACACAACCCTGATGCAGCCTTCAATGAAATCGAGTTTGACACCACTGCTATAGAAGAAGCCTCAGCATTGAGACAATATTTAGGGCATGGTCACATGTCATGCATTTATCAGCTGGCAAATTGCTGCGGTCACTCCTCATAAACCTATTTCAGCCATTTTTCTACCAGCATTTGCCATCTCCACCAAACATGATGTTTCCTGAATTCTTTCATGCCTTTCATTTCTTTCTTTCATGACACCCCTCCTGCGCGAGCTGCACTGGCTCCCAGTGGTCTTCCGGGTGTGATTCAAGGTGTTGGTTACCACCTTTAAAGCACTCCATGGCATAGGACCCGGGTACCTCCGAGACCATCTTCTGCCACCAATAGCCTCCCACCGACCAGTCCGTTCCCACAGAGAGGGTCTCCTCAGGGTGCCATCAGCCAAGTTATGTTGGCTGGCGACACCCAGGGGGAGGGCCTTCTCTGTGGGAGCCCCAGCCCTGTGGAACGAACTGCCCCCGGAAATTCGTAAGATCTCCGATCTCCGGGTGTTTCGCTGCGCATTGAAGACCCTGTTGTTCCGCCAGGCCGGACTATCAACACAATAGTTTTAAATTGGGGTATTTAAATTTTTTGGGGTTTTAAATCTAGGCCAATTTATTTAATTATTTTAAATTTTATATTGTTGTTTTGTCTGTGTTTTTTAAATAGGCTGTACACCGCCCCGAGTCCTTCGGGAGAAGGGCGGTATAGAAATAAAATTATTATTATTATTATTATTATTATTATTATTATTATTATTATTATCTACTATTATTATTATTATTATTATTATTATTATTATTATTATTTCTCCTGTCTCTATTGTTGATCCCAATTTTTCTCCAGGCTTCCAACAAGGGACTGCAGAGGAGAGCAGAGTTCCACAATTTTGTTTGGGAAAGAAGGCATGGTCACACCACCACCACGATTTTAGTAATAGTATAGTAGGAGAAAATAGTATAATAGGAGAAAATAGGAAGTAATTATGCAATTATGAAATGATGTCCAGAATTGTAACTTCCAGATGCAGCATTATTTTCAGAATGTGGCTCGACCACTCTTACTCATTTCAGCATCCTGAAAAAGTCCTCCAGCAGACTTCCATGCCACAATCAAAACTACAGCTTGGGTTTCCCTGCTCCTAATCCAGGGAAGACCAGACCAAATTAGTTTACTATTGTTACTAGATAAGGTAAGGTAAGGGATCAACTTATAACTAGCACAATAAAGATGGAGTTACTCCTAATCTTCTTCCTCTCTCCCCTGGACCAATGAATATTTTCTGATATGCTCCTGCTTCCTCCTATGTTTTCTGTGTCTGCTAAACATTCTATTACCCATCTTCCTGAAGATATTAAAGTTCATGGGAAAATAATCACTTGAATGAATCTCAGAATTGTAGACTTGGAAGAGATCACAGGAATGATCTGATCCTGTGGTCTGATCTTCTACAATGTGGTGGAAAACCAATTAAATCATCTATGAGAGGCAGTCAATCCTTCAGAATGATCCAGAGCTGAAGAAGCTTCTTGGATGAGAAGCAAAACATCTTCAAAGAAAAACCAGAAAGTCCAGTTGCCTCTTGAAAAAAAGCACCCTTGGGACTTCAGAATGAACGAAACCCCATTCTTTATAGGTAGACTGGTCCATTGTACACATCGTACGTCAGAAAGGTTTTCCTCAGAGTTAGACAACAAATTTGAAGTAGCAAGAACTGTTTCTGGTCCAAGTTTCTATGGCCAGAGTAATTATTCTCAACCTTCTTCTTTGTAGCTTCCTTCTATATATCCGAAAATAACTAATGTCTCCATCAGCATCATGGAGGTATATAAGACTTAGGGTTCCATCGTCACTGGTTAAGCAGAAATGCTAAACTTAGGGTGAGAATGATGGGAAGGATATGATTTGCAAACATTAGGAGTTGTGATTTTTTTTCTTGTGTCAGATGGACAAAAGATTTCCCTAGCAGCCATGGAAATATGAGTCAGAGATCTAATTTCTCTAGCAATGATGCTACTGGGGATCTGGATTTTCACATTAACATTCTTTTAAACATTTTTATTGTGACAACAGGGTGTTAAAATCAGTGTACTGAATGCAATTCATATTGCATGATTTCCCATTTTTGATAGAGATTACTTATCTCCGACTATGGTGTGATACTCACAATTAGCCCAATTACAGAAGTCTTAGAAAACAGGGGTTTACAATTCCTCCAGTTGTCTCATTGTACGACCCACAATACCAAATCAATCGTATTATCCGGATTTTAATAAATGTATTGCTTTTACACATTTTAAAGTAAAATACTGGTGTAAAGTTTTTCTTTAGAACTGTCTCTAAGGAAAATCTCTGGACGGTTGCACTACTACATGTCCGTGAAGATTCTCATTCATCCAGGTCATGCTTGTCCCCAAAGGTGCTTTTTTTCAAAAAGCAACTGGACTTTGTTTTCCCTTGAAGACCTTTCCCTTTTGACAGAACTGAAGAAACTCCTTGGATGAGAAGCGAAACGTCTTCAAAGAAAAACCAGAAAGTCCAATTGCCTTTTGAAAAAAAAGCACCCTTTGGGGTTGCACTACTGTAGGATTCCCGTGTTTGGCTTGCTGTAAGACTAGGGAGGCTTAATGTGCAGAAGAAGCCGAGGTGCAGAAGAAGCTTGATGTGCAGAAGAAGCGGACTTCTCTGCAGGAGCCCATTCAGGGGACGACATATCGGATTTGCACTAAAGTTGGACTTCGCTTATCTTCCAGATGTCAGCGATTGTCCAGGAAGGCACAGACATTGCTAGAGACACATTACTATTAGGACTTCCTGCCAGGGGTGAAATCCAGCAGGTTCTGACAGGTTCTGGAAAACCGGTAGCGGAAAGTTTGAATGGTTCGGAGAACCAGCAAATACCACCTCTGGCTGGCCCCAGAGTGGGGAGGGAATGGGAATTTTGCAGTATCCTTCCCCTGCCACGCCCATCAAGCCACGCCCACAGAACCGGTAGTAAAAAAAAATTGGATTTCACCACTGCTTCCTGCCCTTCAAAGGTCTCAAAGGTGCCCAGCTAAGCCCACCACCATCACCCCTCCAAGGAGTGAGGGGTTCGTGCCTGGCAGTGAGGAGGGGGGACCCCGCGCGCGGCGCCACCCATCCTGCCCGCGGAGGTGGGTGGCTGGGTGGGGCCGGAGCAGGGCAGCCCCGCTCCCCGCAGAGACAGCCCCGCTCTTTAGCCCCGCAGAGGAAGGGGTCAGCCTTCCTTCCCCCCCTCCCCTCCCCTCCCCGCCTCTTCAGCTTCTCGGTTAAAGACAGCGCTCTCCTCTCTGGCTCCTTTCAGTCCGAGCAACAGTCTGAGCAGCTGCCTCCCCACCCACCGCTCCGCTCTTCCCGCCCGCTTTACCTGGACCAAGACTTTGGGGAAGTCGTCCTCCCAACCTCCGCTGTTCCCGCTGGTTCTCCCGCCGAGCCATCCTGCCGGCCCAGGTGAGTGAGGGGTTCCGGGGAGAGTCGGGCACCTGCAAGACGAAAGCACGAGGCTGAGCACGGTTCCTCCCGGGGCAAGTTTGCGCCGGCAGGCTGGCGATTGATCTCCATCATCTCCAAAGGTGAGTTCCCGAGGAACCGCCTGGCCATGTGCAAAGTGCAAAGCCCAAGGATTCTCTTGGCTGCTGCTTTGAGAAAGCCTGGAAAGCTAAGAGGGGGCACAAGTCGCGTGGGGCTGCAAAGATCTATTCACACTTGAGTGAGAGAATAGGGCTTTCCCCCCCACACACACAAACCATCCCCAAATCTGACTTCTGAGGCTCACTTGCCATCAGGGACCACCACAAGGCCTGTAGAGAATAAGGCATTTGAGGCATTTTAACTTCTCTTGAAAGCCCTTTGGGAAAAGATTGCAAAATATTAAAAAGGAACAAGCCGACTAGCAGTTCTCCAAATAGCCAAGGCCAGGCAGCTTTGAACCAACCTTCCTTCCTTCCTTCCTTCCTTCCTTCCTTCCTTCCTTCCTTCCTTCCTTCCTTCCTTCCTTCCTTCCTTCCTTTCTTCTTTTCTTTCTAAATATTTTTTTTATTTTAAATACAAATAATACAAACATAATACATATACATCCACCCATAAACATATGTTTATGTTTAACCTACTAGTTTTTTGCATTTCCACTGGCAGTTTGTCAAGCAGTTGTACAACTTCTTTTTGTGGTACTTGATTAAATATGTGAAGGCAGTTTTTGTATCTGCTTAATTGTCCAACAGGTGCTTTTTCCGGAGGCAACTGGACTCTCTTGATTTTTCTTTGAAGACATTTCACTTCCCCTCCAAGAAGCTTCTTCAGTTCTGACTGGATGATTTATCCATATCCATATCCTGATTTATCCTTCCATTCCCCACCATCTAGTCAAAGCTGAAGAAGCTTCTTGGATGGGAGGGGAAACGTCTTCAAAGGAAAAAACAAGAAAGTCCAGTTGCCTCTTGAAAAAAGCACCTTTGGGACAATCATGACCTTGACGACTGAGAATCTCCATGGACTATCGGCTTGATTCTGACTAAGAAGTATATATAAAATCTTTTTTTTTCTACTGTAGAGCATAATGTACCCTGTTTCCCCCAAAATAAGACATCCCCTGATAATAAACCCAATCAGGCTTTTGAGTGCATGGCAATAAGGCCAAACACTTATTTCAGGGTTCAAAAAAATATAAGACAGGGTCTTATTTTTGGGGAAACATGGCAGTATGTATGACCAATCATTTACTTTTACTCATGCTCTTTTTTTTCCTCACTTGATTTATTATTCCCTATCCTTTTAAAATCTCTACCATCCTCCCAGTTAAAGTCTCTTGCCCTAAAGATCCCAGGATGTGTATATCCTTCTGACATCAAGATTTATCTTTGCCAGAAAGTAGAGGGAGATGAGGAACCGTAGGGAATAGTCCTATTCCCACCAACCTGCTCACTGTGGTGTCAGTCTGAAGTTTCAGCCTAGGGAGACAAATTAGGCAGCTCATTTGTGAAGAGGGGAGATAGTGTCTTATTCTGAGCCAGATTATTGCTCCATCTCTTGTCTGTCTGGGTGCTGATTCTTCAAGGTTTCAAGCAGGAGGCTTTCCCAGCACTGTGTAATAATGATGGGGATTGAAGCTGGAAAGTATGAAGCCATGTAATCAAGGCAAGAAGAACCTCCAATGACATCAAGGGAGACTCGGTTAGAATCGCACAGAACTTGTTGCAGATTTCATTTGAGGCACATCTGTAGGTCAAAGCCAGCAAGTGGCTGAAGCATATCACTGGCCAGAGATAGCGAGAAGCCAACATGCATGCCCTGAGATATTCATGAATTCTCAAAGACAGATGCTTGGCTCAGATTCATGACATACAGTGATTCTTCTATATTTATTGCTTTCACAGTATGCCAGGGAAACAATATATTATTGACAAATATGCTATTGGCAAATGACCTAAGTAAAATGGATATAGACACCCACTCACACGGACACACACATTATAGAAGCATATCTTTCCCAATATGGTCCCCTAGAGATATTGGATTATGCTGTCCTTTATTCCTGCTTATCTTGCTGATTAGGGATATTGGATATAATAGACAAATCCAGTTGTAGGTATTACATTGGGAAAGACTGGCATAAACATTGTCCTAAATGGGGAAAAAAGCCATCATATTGTATATACTGTATGAAAAAGAAGAGCATATCCTATTGGCCCTCATAGATTTTCCAAAGCAGAACTGCACTTTTTCTTATTCTTATAGGCACAGACCTACCCATTTATTAAGTATCTCTTTCATAGCCTATGATCCATGCTACTGAAGATCTATGGTTTCCAGCCAGTTTTATCTTAAGAGATAAAGCCCCATTGTGAGCTTTGTGGCTTAATAAGAATTGGAATCTGGATCTAATCAGTCCTCTTCCACCACTCAGTTGCTACTCATCAAGCTATCTTAAGAGTTGTAAAGATGAGTTGCCACTAGAGAATAAAGAAATCAGGTGGGTGAATTTAAGACGTAATCAATTGATCGTTTTTCTTCCTTTCTTAATCATTAGTTCAGAACAACATCAATAATTTAATGAACTGGATTTTTCTAGATAGAGAAAAGATAGAATGACAATTTGAGTTTTGTTTTTTTCTCCTCTCTCACCCTTTGTCATTTTTGAGTTCCTGCCACCCATATATTACTGATACAGAATTTCATGGGAACTTAAAAAATAATCTCTACATTTTTCTTGACATCCTAAATCCATTTGTGGCAGAAACACAGAATACTGGGAATATCATAAGACCTACTTATTGCTATATAATACAAAATCAGGACATTTCCTATTACAGTTGTAATAAACTTGAGTTTATAGAGATGGAACAGTCGTGGTACATTTTCTGCTGTTTTTAATATTGAAGACTTTGGATTTGCTCATTCAGTGCTGCTCTGGAATGTGAAATGCTTTTTACAGCTGTCTCTTTGTAGCTGTACTTTTTTCTTTTACTTCAATTAAGATGCTTCACTGCAGTGCTCTTAAGCATGACAAGGTGTATCAAGGTTTATTCTTTACAATTATTGAATGAATGCCTTCAAAATACATACCATTATTGGTGGTGCATGCAGTAATGTTTGCATAAATAACCAATGACTTTCGTATTCTCTAAGTTTTTATGCATGCAGAATCAATTAAGGAACTATAAGTATCAGACCAGAGTTTGATATAGTTATAATTGAATAAAATAAAATAAAATAAAATCAGTTCTTTGTTCTTCCATATAGCCCTGGAGATAAGCAAAATTAATCAACATATTATATTTCCTACATAATGTCTATATCCTTTGTGCAAGACATGGCAAAGGAACTGAGCAAACTCTGAAAAGACACTTGCTTACATGAAAGTTTTTTTTTTTAAAGATTTGGCTAATTCTAATAATTCTAATACATCAATTTATTATGGAAGCTATCTCCAGAGAATGTTAACCATCGATTAATGGTTCAATTTCCATTGAAGTGTTCTGTTGTTTACACTCAAGACTTAAAATATCACCCCAATTTCATGTAAACATGCATAGTTTATATTTACACAGTCGTCATAAACTTGCAACAGGTATCAGCATGCCAAGTTATAAATCATGCCCCTTTGAGATGATCCTTGGTTTCTGTGCTTTATGTATTAGGTAGTATTAAAAACATTTGTTTAAAATTGTACCAAGAATGAAACATTTTAACAAGGTTAGGTAGAATACACATCCCCCCCCCTATTCAAAGCTGCATATCTTCAAAGGAAGAAAATCTGTATGTTTTAGGTGATAATCCTAGGGCTAAATTGGGCTAAAAATCAGCTGCTTTAATAAGTTAGTTACAAAAATGTAAAGCTGGGGCTAAGTTGCAGAGAAAGCCAGTTTGGTGTAGTGATTAAGGCATCAGGCTAAAATTTGGGATACTGTGAGTTCTAGTCCCCCCCCTCTGCCCCCCCCCTCCAGGTCTGTGACTTTGAGCCAGTCACTTTCCCTCTTTTCTGAAAAATCTTGCCAAAAAAACGGCAGGGACTTTGCAGGCAGTCTTGAATGAAAGGGGGGTGGTGGGGGGCGGATGGGAGACTGTTCTGTGATTGAATGAAATTCTTATTAGAAGAGAATCATATATAGCAGAAAATGTGAGTGGAGAGAAAAATATTCTGTAGAATGTTCCATTTTTCCAAGAAGCCATTTAAGAAAACCCTGGCTCAAAACCCCTTGAGTTATTGTGACTTTTCCCCTGAAACTGAATGCTTCAGGCTAGCAAAATAAATTACCTTTCAAATTTAGGCCTGCATTCCCTGCAGGGATCGCCAGATCTGTATATAGTCTTGTAAAAGCTGTGGTGGTAGCTAAAACTTATGAGGACACAGAAGTTATTTTTTTGGAGCAAAACTGCAGAACTTTGCTTTGGCATATGTCCCTAAGAGAGTAGCCCAATATAGTCAATGGGATTTACTTCAAAGATGTAATTGGCCCCATTTCAAATATGAATTCCTGTCTGGGATGCGGTAGCAGAATTTGGTATGTCTTATTTATTTACTTAGTAAAATGATACTATCTACCTAAACTAGTAAGCTTTTTCTTCAGCCTTCTGGAAAGACAGTGCTTGAAAATGTTCTCTGTTTCAAAAGGATATTTTTCTCTCTTTTTCAAAGCATTTCATCACATGTTGTTCATTAGGAGAGTGGTTAGATCTTTTTTCTTTGCTCATTTGATTTTTAGTGGCTTATTTTTTTTTTTAAAAAAAAGAATTCCATATAAATTAATCCTTGGTTGGTCAAAACACAATATGTCTCTCTGATTTTCAATACCCTAGCAGTACATATAATCTGGTTTGTTTTTTTTAAAGGAAAGGGAAAAGTCTGTTCAGCCTTAAAATGTGAAGCAAAAACAGAAGTGAAAAGTTAGCAGATACATTTAAATTACATCTGACATTTCTGTAAAAGTGTTCAATTTGCAAACTGGAGTGCTCCAATTTAGGAAGGCATAATGCAATCTTATGCATATTTCTCTTGGATATAGATTCCATTATTTGGTAAAGCTCTGCTTAAATGTCAATCAGAATGTATTTTTTTTAATTTT